ACCACCAGTGCCCCGGGCCCCCACAGTACCCAGGGTCCCCTGTGTGCTCCCCTCCCGTGTTCAGATCCCTTTCTGTCCCTGTCCCTTGCAGAATGTCTCGGCTATAGTTGTCTGCTTATTTCTGTTTTGTGTGTGTGTGTGTTTTTCTTGTTATTACTTTCCCCGGATGCCTTATTTTGTTCACCTATATTCCTTGTGTAAGTGAGACATCTGATATTTTTCTTTTCCCTTCTGATTTATTTCAGTGAGCACAATTCCTTCCAGCACCATCATCTGTTAAAGGGAAGATTAACAGCTTTACTGGATTTATGCAAATAAACACATTGTCATGAGAAATACTTAATGCTGTCAGTTAATTCTTGAGTGTGTCGGTGAGACAGAAAGCAAATGGTTCTGGTCAATATGATACAATTGACCTTTGAGTAGATTATAGCTCAGCTCAAAAAGGGAAGTTTTCTGGAAAGTTAAAACATGAATATATTAATTTCCTAAAAAGATTTAAAATTTTTATTTGTCATTCATAGTTCTTTCAGTCCATGCAGCAAATTACAGAATCTTGTTAGCAATTTTTATACATCTAGTCTTTTGTAAGAGATCAATAATTTCTTATCCTCAATTACAAAATAATGTTCTAGATTATCTTTTGGAATCCATCTTCTGTGCATTTTTCTGAACATAAGCAGAGTGAACAGAAGCTCAGTCTATGGCAAGGACTTCAAAAGCATTTGTAACTGCAATTTATTACAACAAAAATGAGAAGATATTTATGACATACAATGACCTGTATGGGAACCCAGTAGACTGGGGCCTCCCTGGCGGGAACACACGTTACAGGCACGTCCCTGCCCTCAGGTTTGACTCTTCCCCTGACGTGACCGTGCTTCCGGGAAGGCTCATGGTCTCCAGATGGGTCTGAAATGCTCAATATTCTTTGCACGTGAGGACAACGTGACGGGCGTCCGAGATGACCCACATAACGTGGCAGACCTCTTTTGTCTCTCTCGCTGCTCCCCTCAGCAGTGTACTTCGTCCGTCTGCCTGTTCTGCTCCCCACTCTTTCTTTTGTGAATCCTCTCACTGCCTCTGCACTTCTAACCTGTACCCTGGGTCTGTGTGCATAAATAAAACAAATCTTTAAAAAAAAAAAAAGAGAAAATACTGTATTAAAAAAAAAGTAACAGATTTTGTTCATTAAAAAAAAAGAAGAAAAAAAGAAAGATGATCTATCATAGTCAATTCCACCATGCTGGGGTCTCACCTTCACAATACAGTAGTATCAGTCTTTTTGACTGAGCTCCATCCATTGAAATCCTAAATTTTCTTGATGTTTGTAGTGTTCAGAGCTAACTGTCGTTACCCTTTTATTGGTAGAACTGGCACCCCAGAAGCAATGGGTTCTGGCTGCCTTTCCATAGGACGCTGCAGACAAGGTGTCTCCATACATCCATGTCTGCAAGTATCTCTTTTATTTATTTCCATTATATATATATATATATATATATTCACTTCATCATTGTCTATTTTGTTTGTTTGTTTATTTATGATTATAGAACTGGTATACAAGCCAGAGGTGTAGTGGATGAGAGGATTCACCAGAGATGGAGCAGGGAGCATATCAGGCAGATAGATGAGGTACACTGCTGAGGGGAGCGGTGGGCCAGTCAGGGGGGTTTGCTGCTCCATGTGGGTCACCTCCCGGGTGGGGATTGAACTCGGGCTGCAGTGGCTTCAAAGAGCTTCATAATGTGGTGCTTTAACCTGTTGAGCCACCGGGGAGGGCCCACATTATTGTCCATTTTTTTT